AAGATAGCTTTGTCAATTTCCCAAATTTTATTTCGTTCAGCCGGTTGCTTTCCGGCCCATTACTCGCGTGGTATTTTTTTTACTCTTATCTTTGGAGCTCAAGCACAATGTTACATGATAGATTCTCATTTTCTTAGTATGCCCATAGATGTATATGCTTATCATTACATGTATCTGTAATCCAGACATTCCTTTATGACATTCAAAAGGTTTTTAAAGAATCTTGAGGCACTATGTTGCATGGATTCTTCAAATAAGTGTTGGTTCCCGTCCCCAAAATGTCACTAGTCTGGGTACTTGGGGACATCCCGACACCCAAATCCCTTATATTTTTTTAATATTAAAATTGGTGTTTTCAAGCTTAGTACCCCATCTCCGGAATGTATCCTGACACACAAATCCTTTACTCCCTCCGTCTCGGAACTAAAGGCACAAATGGAAAACACCGAGATTAAGGCAATGTGATATTGTGATGTGGTTGAAGTAGGAGGAAAAGTGTAAAAGTGATAGTAAAAGGTACAGATGAGTAGGTTAATTGATTGAAAAAGTAGGGATGAGATGGTTAATTGATTGAAAAAGGTAGGGAAGACTAGGCTGAAATAAGAGAGTTAAAGTGATTGAAACGATATGGTAGGTTATGCTAAAGAATGGTGCCTTTCGTTTTGGAACGCCCAATTTAGAAAGTGTGCCTTTAGTTTCGGGACGGAGGGAGTATAAATTTTCAAAAAGTTAGCGTTTTCAAGCTTCCAAATCCGTCCATATATAAGTACCTATCTCCATCTCGGTGCAACTTAGTTGAGGCATAGGAACCAGATATTCAATGTATTGGCATGCATAATCTTGTTGAAGTTTCCCTAAGACATAGTGCTCCCTTTGTAGTTTAATGACTATGCTCTCAAATTATGAAACTTGTTAATATTTTAGAATTGTGCAAAAGAATATTGGTATGCCTAAACGATCCTTACTCGGTTATAAAGTACCCCCTCTCTTGGAATATTAGAAGGTACTTAAATTGAGAATTAAGACTGGAGAAGGGTGGAAAGGGAGAGTGGAATTAAATACTCAGTGATTTTTAAAGCATCATATAATGTAAAACCACTTTTTAACTGGACGACACTTAATAAGTAATGGTTGAAGAGGTTAACTAGGATACTAGTGAAACTGTCACAAAGGATGAAAGTAACAAATTGAACGGTTTGTCCTTTTTGTGATTTTTGGTATATTTCAACTTAGTTACACTAATTGCATTAAGTTTTTTTTCAAAACTTCTTTGCAGGATGATCACTCAAGATATGTACGTTTCTGCATTCATTGGGCTTGCTTTTGCTGGTGCAAGTGACTGGGTATAGTACTATAGTCTTATTTCTCCCTCTTCTGATGTTGTTGAAATTAAGTTGCTTCCTAATTTTTTAATTTACAATTCCAGTTAGATGGGTATGTGGCCAGGAAGATGGGGATAGATTCCGTGGTTGGTTCCTACCTTGACCCCCTTGCTGACAAGGTAACTAAAATATTTTCTAGCATTAGCTCCTCAGATTGATCCATATATCCATTAAGTTAACCTATTGCATTTGAGCTCCAAAGATATTACCTTTCTTTAGAACTCAAACACAATGTGTCTAATAAGTAAACCTGCTTGCATGGTACTTTGTTTAAATGCAATAGGTCAATCTATTGCTTTTGACCTCCAAGGGATGATACGGCCCTCTTCCTATATTTTTGGTCTTCATTTCTTTATTCTTCCTATCATTCTTATGTTTTGATACATTGGAGAAAGTTTCCACCACATATTCTATTTGTAATTCCAACTGTTGATATGACTTGTTTTGTACATCAACCCATGAAATATTTCGTATTTCAGGTGCTGATTGGATGTGTGGCCCTGGCAATGGTTGAGAGGGGTCTTTTGCAATGTGAGTACATGTTGCATTCTCTCTCTCTCTCTCATTTTTTATTTTTAAACTTTAGAATGATATGGGATTGTTTTGAGTGAAGGGTTGAACTTGAAAGAATAAACACCATTATCAAATCAAGAACCCGTTTAAAGTACGATCTTGGCTGAAACTGTGGCTGATATTGATGAAAATTGTGAAAATAAGTTACGAAGTATAAAATATATTTCAATAATAAAATAGAAAAGGCTAAAATAACCATTATCGGCAACTTCAGCCAAATTTTAGCCAAAGTACCTTGAGTCACAGTCCAATACATAGTTGGCTATCTTTGACTACAAAACGGTCAGTAAGAGTTCCTCAATTTTGCAAAGATTCAAGTCTTTGTACATTCAGCTTTGAAGTGGCTCTTTTTGTTTTTCTCCTCATTGTGAAGCTCAACTTGTTACACTTGTGGTGCTACGTGATGTTGCCCTCGTTGGTGGTGCTGCTTACAAAAGAGCTGACTGTTTGGGATGGAAGGTGAAACCTCATATATATGCTCTTAATTTTTGCAATTAGTCAGCGCTTGTTTTTCCTAATTGAAGATTCATTTCCATAACCACTTCATTTTTCACTACTAGTTGACAAGTTGGTCAGATTACTTCAACCTGGATGGAATGCGCCCCCAGAAAGTAGAGCCTCTTATGATTAGCAAGGTATCCTCTATACGAAGAAAGAAATCAAAACACTAGTCACAATTAATTGTACTTCACTTTTCCTTTTAATTCCAAACACAAGAGAATAACTTTACTTTGTTTTTTTTTCCATTCCCCTTCCATGATTCAAACATATCCTTAGAGTCCATTTGGAACATGAAAAATGTTAGGGAAAGAAAAATATTTAGAATATCTTCCTCTGGTGATCAAAGTTAATCTGCTAATGCCATATGGTGTGTTGACAGGTCAACACCTTCTTCCAATTGGTCTTAGTTGCAGCAGCCCTACTTCAACCTGAATTGGGCAATGCAGCGACCCAAACGTGTATCGACTACTTGAGGTATATCATATATGTACAATATTACAACTTTGCATCCTTTTGTGCTTTATACATTTGCATAAAATATGCATGAAATTAATAGAACTTCCATTTCTTTGGATTAAAATGCAGTTGGATAGTTATGTTCACAACAGTAACTTCAACTGCTGCCTATGGTTCCCAACACCTCAGGACTCCATAAAGAAAAGGTTTTTGTCTGAGGCAATGCTGTTTTATTTACTAACTACACTAACCGAAGTTTTTGATAATCCCCTCCCCTCAGTTAATTCTCAAGTAAGTTAGGGTTGATGGCGTTTAATTTGGTGCCAGTTAATACAGTAGTATAATACAGAGTAAAATTTAGCGAAACGATAAAATAATGTGAAATGCATAGTGGGAATATTTTACGTGCGTCGAGGTTTCTTGTTGCAACATTGATTACGTAGCTTGTTTTTTTCTTATTTAAATTGTTTTTGTGGTGCAATTATGTACTCCTTGGTTTGTTTGAGAGGTTTACTTTTGTCAAAAATTTCATGTTTCCCTATGGATTTATATGTTCACTAACCAGGAACACATTTTTCACTAAAATGAAGTTTAACCGAGAATCCATCGAATGGAAATTATCCGTTTGAAAAAATTGCAAACAGAAATTGACCTAAAAATATCGTTAAGTCCGTAATAAATAAAAATGTGATTTGGGATTTAAGGATTGGTTTAGTTGCCATTGGGCAACAATGCCACTTTGAGGTCACTAACTTTTTGGAGCACTTAATTGATGGTTTCTATCTCCATAATCTTCACGGTAAACTCTTACCCCATTCTGAATCCACCCTCCGTCAATTGTACCCCGTATATTTTAAATACTTTCTTTCTATTTAATGCACAAATTTATATGATGCTTACTTTTACATGATGGAATAAAAAATTATGCAAAATAAACAAATAAACTAAGATGATTATGTACACATAATATATACTCGAACCTTTGAATTAAAGAACGAACTGGTCTGTGAACCATCATCATATCTTCCTTTTTTGGTCAAAACATTTGAAAGTTTTCTAAGGCCCCGTTTGGTACATGGAATTCAAACTATGGAATTGGAATTGAGGACTTCAATTCCAATTCTAGTGTTTGGTAGCACAAAAATTATGTGGATTTGGAATTGATAGTGCAAAAAATAAATTGAAATTGGCAGAATTCAATTCCATGGAATTGAATCCCATAAAATTTCAATTCCAATTCAATTTCAAATCCATCAATTCCGTATACCAAACGGACCCTAAATGAATATTTGCTTAAACGGATTTTTGAATAAGTTTTTCAGTTCGATTTTTTTTCCGAATATTTTTTTGCTTGTGTTTGCAATTGAGAATTGAAGAAGGTGACGAAAAAAGTACAGGGTACTGAAAAAAAAGTTCTTTGAAAGAGATATTTTGATACATTTCTAAATAGTTAGTACCTAATTACTCCCTCCGTCCTAATTTATAGTGCCTGTTTCGGTTTATGATGTTTGACTGAAATTATTTTCAAATCATTTTATATGACAAATGATATAGAGTTACATAATAAAAATTACATATTAAAATACGACATCAAAAGATCTACAAAACTAGTAGTGACAATAGTTTTGTACTATCTGAGTTACCAATATCCAAAATTTCATATTGGATCAATGGAATTTCCAAAATAAACTCTTATGAAATTTTTGGAAATTCATAAGAGTTTATTTTGGAAATTCCATTGATCCAATATGAAATTTTGGATATTGGTAACTCAGATATCCAAAAACTTCCAGATCAGACATTAAATAGATTTTTCCGATTCGAAAGATTTAGGATATTCGGAAGATCGGACCGATCCAAATGAACATCCCTAGTAGTAGCATAGAATTTAACTAAAACCTAAAACTTCTAAAGTCTGATATCTAAAACTTAAAGACTAAAATCAAGTCTAGATAATTACTCGTAGAATATAAAACTGAAAAAAAAACTATCTTATACTTCACGGTAAATCTCAAAATGTAAATAAAGGGTAATGATTTTTAAACCCACTCCACGCATATATATAGTCCGCATCTCATAACATAAACGCAATACTCCCACAAAAAATTAAAGTAAATATGTCTCTATTATATTTTAATTTATTCTTTTGGGCGATTTTTGTATGTGCTAATAATTATAATTTGTACACATACAAAGCAAATGCTTCATTATTATTATCGTCCCATTTGAATTGTTCAAACATCTATGTTGATTCTTCTTCTGGCCATGGAGATTACAATTCTATCCAAGAAGCAATTGATTCAGTCCCTGTGAACAACAATATTTGGGTCTGCATTCATGTCAAAGCTGGAAATTATAGGTATGTATCAAATTTTAGGGTTTATCTGTCGATACGATTTCACTTTTTTTTCAGTGATCGATATTATTAAGTTGTGTTGAAATGAAACGAATCTCGTGTTTTTTTAAAAAAAAAATGGTAGAGAACAAGTGAAGATACCGGCAGATAAACCCTACATTTATCTCAAGGGCGAAGCGAGAAAGCGAACGAGTGTGATTTGGGATGGGCATCACGATATCGATAACGCTACTTTCGTTTGCGATGCGGATAACATCCTCATCAAAAGCATCACCTTCATTGTAAGTGATGATGAATTAATATGCATTTCACAATAATTGTTAGATTTTGAACGAATGTAGATTTCATTTGGGGATAAATTTGTCATTAGTGTTAATATTTCGGGAAAATTTTTTAATTGTACAAAGTGACTTTGGAAATCCTGAACAGAATTCGTACAACTTTCCACCGGAGAAAAACAGAAAGAAAAGAGACTGGGCGGTGGCGGCGAAGTTTTCCGGCGACAAAATAGCGGTTTACCGATGTGGGTTTAAGGGATGGCAAGATACGGTTTGGGACAATGAGGGCCGTCACTACTTCAAAAAATGCACCATCATAGGGGCGGTTGACTTCATTTTTGGTAACGGCCAATCTATATATGAGGTAAAATATTTAATTGCTCTTTATTTAGTAAATATAAGTAATTAATTAAGATTCCATATGTTTAAAACATAACATATCCCATTCAAAGTATAGATTTTAATGTGATCAATATCTAATAGTTATATGGTAAGTATCAATAAATACACTGTAGGGAAGTTTTAATCACGGAGTATATTTTTTAGCTCGACCAGAAACATCGTATTTGTAGGCCTACCTAGCAATATCGTTAGAGTTTATCGTTACCATTTTTAAAAGTAATCTACAATGTTAAAATTTTATTCAAAATACAATTGCTAAGAAAAAATGGTGTTTCCACATAGAGATATACCATATAATAATGAAAGCGAATAATGATTCAGATAATTAATACGGAGTACAAAGTAACTCAGCTCGCCTTTATTTTATGTTTTATAAAAGGTAAACTTCCTTTGAAATTCGGGTTTGCACTTAATATTTGCGTCTTGAATCATTTGTACATACTCCCTACATTTTAGGCTAAACTCCACCATTGGTCCTTCAACTTTATCAATTGTGCACAATTGGTCATTCAAGTTTTAAAAGTCCATAAATAGTCCTTCAACTTTATGAGTTATGCACGATTGGTCCTTCAAGTTTTAAAAGTGCATAAATAGTCTTTCAAGTACATGTCAGCCCTCCAGATGAGGTCCTTTTGACAGTAAATGTTAAAAGCTAAATGGAATACTAGCTTCATATAATACGGAGTAGTCGTACCTAATGGAATTTACTCGTATTATATGAAACCAGTATTTCATTTAACTTTTAATATTTATGGTCAAAAGAACTTCATATGGACGGCTGACGTGTACCTGAAGGACTACTTATGAACTTTTAAAACTTGAAGGACCAATGGTGCAGAACTCATAAAGTTGAAAGACTATTTATGGACTTTTGAAACTTGAAGGACCAATCATGCACAACTGATAAAGTTGAAAGAGCAATGGTGGATTTTAGCCCTACATTTTACAATAAATGCCCTTTCTGACTTTTTAGATATGTACGTTGAAAAATGAATGAACATAAAATATGACTATATTCATTCACTTTTCGATGTATCCAAAACATCATAATGCATTGTTAAAACTAAAAAATTAGAGTATTCAATACTTCGTAATATTTTTTCATTTGTAAAGATAAATATGTTAAAGATAATGTAAAACACAAACTTAATTATACTCTGGTTTTAATTAGTTTGTACACATCAAGTGAGATTTAGTACCTAGTTTGACTATGTGTATAACAAGTAATGTATGCCATTTTGTACAGCTACGTGATCTAGTAACACAAATACCTACTCCCTCCGTTTCTTAAAATCATTCCTCTTTCATTTTTTTTGTTTTTCTTAAAACACTTCCCCTTTCTATTAAAAAACCACTTTTACCCCTACTTTTTCATACCCTACCTATCACATCATACTTTTTCATTAACAACTAAACTATTACATCTTACTTTTACCCATCACATCAAGGACAAAATTGGAAAGTCAACTACAATTTAACACTTCCTTATTTCCCCCCAAAGTCAAAAGAGGAACTCTTTTGAGAAACGGAGGTAGTATTAGATTCAACGGATCTTAAATACGGGGAAAAAATTTATTACTCCGTATCTTTAAAGCATACAAATTTGAAATATCCGTTTTGACTAAATTAGTAAATGAACCAAAAAATATTTCGCACATAACTTTTCTGTTTGTAAAATGCTCACAAACAAAAGTTATTTGTAATTGTTTTATTTTTGTGAACTAACTATATTATTGTTTGTTTGTTTGTATGTTTTTTTTTTTTGAAAAAATAATGCAGAAGTGTATAATATCAGTAGATACAGGCAATGATAAGACAATGGTGGGATACATAACATCACAAGGGAGAGACAGCCCAGATGAAAAGAGTGGGTTTGTGTTCAAGAAATGTTATGTGAATGGAAATGGCAAAGCCTATTTGGGAAGGCCTTGGGGAGACTATTCAAGAGTCATTTTTTTCAAGACTCATATGGAAAACATCATTGTCCCTCAAGGTTGGTGGGCTAATGATGAACTCCTTTCCAAGTGAGTTTCTCTTTTTTTATCTATTGAAATAATCCCACACTTCTTCTTAACATTGTTTGATTTGCTATATATATATTGATAAATCTATTGGATCTATGGATGTGTTTCTCTGTGTTGGTATTTATTGGTTTATTGCTCATCATGACCAGTTTCTAATTTATAAAGTGGGTCAAATATTCTTTCGTAAAAGGAAAATGACTAAAATGATAGATAAGTCATTTAGAAATATTCATAAATGGTGAGCGATAGTTTTGTAAATAATATGGTCAAAACAGAAAAGTAAAAAAACTGACTTAAAAATAAGCAGGTAAGGTGTGTTTATTTTTTCTGGCTTATAAGTTAAAAATTGTTTATAATGACAGAGAAACACTAACTATCAAAGGAATTATGTCCAATATTTTTAATCCATTCAACGATTAATATTTAGATTCGGTATATATATATTTTCTCCTCCGAGATAAAAATTACAATCGATCTGCCAATCATGATGCACAAAATGTATTATCTAGCTTAGTCTTTCTGTATTATCACTATTATCATTAGTATTGGAGTATTATTATATATTGTTATTATTATCATTATTATTATTGATGAATAAAAATATTGATTATGCAGTGGGGGTGGGGATAAGTTGACATATGTGGAAGAGGAGTGCAGTGGACCGGGTTCGGACAAGTCAATGAGAATGAATGGGTTATTAACAAAATTGAGCATGCAAGATTTGCATTATCTCACAAGCATCTCTTACATTGATGATAATGATGGCTGGCTTCACAAACTCCCCCCTACTAAAATCTTTGCTTAATTTAGTAGATTATTTTAATTAATCATATACATACATATATATATATATATATATATATATATATGTATATTAATTAATTATTCAATTAAGTATATGTATTACTATTTGAATTTATTTATTTTTTTATTTCACAATTAAGCACCTCTTACATTGATAATGATTTGTTCACTTATGCATTACTATTTCACATCTATTTTTTTTATTCTTCTAATTTTGAATTTTGTGGTCAATGTTTTTAAACTTTGACCATAAATTATAAACGAATATATTGAGTGGTGATACAATATAATATTCATGTGTTAACGTAAAATCACATATTTTTAAAATAATGCAATTTTTTCCTAAATAAATTTAAAATAAACCTTAAAACCAAAAATAAATATATTATAATGTCAACTTATTTTTTGGGGAGGGTTAGTTATAATGCATTTCGATTTATTAATACTTGTAATTGCCAACTTATATTTAATTTATTAATTATTTTGTCTAACTTTAAAATGTCACGTATATAACTGATTGACACTGACAAAATAATGGTATAAAAATGTATAATTTTTGGGAGTGATGTGTTAATCGATGTGCCCATGTCTTAGACGCGGGTGAATAAAGCATTGAAAAACTTTTTGGAGTTTAATATAATTGGTGTTGACAAATGCGGAAACAATATATATTAAAACGCAGAAGTAAAAGCGTAAAACAAAGACACACCAATTTTAGACTGGTTCCGGAACTCCCTACTCTAGTACCTTATGGCTTCTCCTTAAGAATTTCCGAATCCACTAAGTCCTTGTCTCTTGAACTCCGTCAAAGCACCACACTAGTTTGGCAAACAACTCTTGCCAATAGGTTTCGACCCCGAGATTTCACAACGGCTATCTCGAACCGCTACAATGAAGATTTAAATGCTATCTTCTACCTTTTCCCACAAAGATTTGAAAGACTATCCTTGAACTTTTTACCCAAGGAATTTTCAGTTAGCTTTTACCATTACAATTGAGAATGTAACAACTATTCTCGACCGTTTGAAAACACAAAAATAGGTCATGCACAACGGCTTGGCACAAGGATAAAGAATAAGACCTAGCCGGTGTAGAACGAAGATATACTCTCTATGAAAGATACAATATCAACTTATAGATATGAGAGTATGAGGGTGTTTGGAAGTAATTGGCTTATTGATAAAGTAATTTATACAAAAGCTGAAAGCAAAATCACCTCATACCTGCTTCTCTGAAACGATGTTCCATGTACAAAATAATGTTGGTGAAAAGCAGAAGCTGACATGCCAAACAGAGTAAAATCACTTCCACTCAAAGCAGAAGCTAAATTGTTAAAAGCAGCGCACTACCAAACACCCTCTATATATCTAAGCCACAAGCTCAATATGTGTATAAAAATTAGGAGAAAAAGGCTCTTGAAATAGCCAAAATAATAAGAATGAAGAACAAGAATGATAACACACTTGAAATATGAAATATGATGTTTGGAGCGTGAATTGTTACTCAAATATGAAGGACTAAGCCCATATTTATAGTGAAAAATGTTAATTAGCCGTTGGAGATTAATTAGGCTAGATTTTGACTAATTAAATATTAGATTTGAAATTCGCAATTTGAAAATTCTAAAACAATAACGGAACGAAAGTACCGGACAGACGGTATCCGGGTATCGGACCTACGGTAGTGAGGTACCGGACTGGTGTTCGGTTGCTACCGGCACATCGGTTGCCACCGGCGCAGGATGTTTCGCTCTGGCGGAATCTGCACCAGCCAACGGCTAGCTACTGGAGTAGCGGTACAGGTACTGTAAGGGCGGTATCTTGGTGCTTGTGTGAATTCATCTAAACTCATATATATAACACGTGAGTTTTGCAATATGTTCACCCAAATATTATTTTTTCTATTTTAAATCTCTTGAAAGCCTAAATAATTATTCTCACTTTAGCCGTTGGTAACTGATGGGAAATAATACGTGGCTCGGCCCACATTTCCCAATTATTTACGAAGAACAGTCAAACCGGACCTATTTAATAAAATGAGGAAATAAGAGAATATTCCCCGAATATGCCCCCTCCTCCCTATAAAAGAAAGGGTTGCCTAATTGAGAAGGGAGACCAATTTTTACACTCCCCTTGTCCACTTCCTTTCCCTCTCTAGAATAGTGTGTATTTTTTTCTCCTTCAAGAGCTCAAAAGCTCCATTAATGGCTTCCTAGCCTAAATAATGTACCGTGTACACACCCCTGATATTAATAAAAATCCCCCGTTGGCAAGGTACCGCCAAAAAAGGCTCGTGGTTTTCTCCCGATTTGGGAATCGATCAATCTTTTCATCAATCTACGACTTTATCAAACTCTAACAAATATATTGATTTGCGTGCAGTTAACGTATTTCAACGAATCTCTGTTCTTCAGAGTGACTTCGTACCTTTTTCGTTACACTCATTCAGTTCAAGAAGTATAATAGTATTCCAGTCTTTCTTTCTTTTCGTTCTATTCGGAGTACGCCGATTACCCCCCGAACCGTACAAGATAGTTACCACCTATCATACGGCTTTCTAACTTCACTTCTTTTTCTGGTCGTTCCGCTCTGTCGATCGATGGAGATCCCGAAAAAACTTGAATTAGATCTTGGAAATGCTCGACTAAAATAGATGCTCATCATAAGCTTTTTTTTCCTCCTCTTCCTATTGATCAGAAGCATCCAACAGCGCCAAAAGAGTGTTGCTACTAAATGAGTTTTCTAACTACGTTCAACTCATTTGCGGGGCTTTGCATCTGAAATTCGTTGGGTTCCCGGCGTTTTTGTGCAATAAACCCCTCCGGCCGAAGACTAGTGGTAGGTGGTCCTGCGGAGCTTTCGGAAAAGGCTGCCCGACAGTATGGAGTACTGACCACACCGAGGGACAGGCCCTGAAGCGAAGGACGGGAACGAGCGGAATCAATGTGTTCCAATTTCTGGCCTTGCAAGAACCCTTTTCCCGAGGGTTAGGATCAAGGGAGAGGTACGACCATTCGTTGAACTATTAGCCACAGCCACTTTGTCTGTTGGAGCCTGCACCCTACCTATTTTTGCAACACTGCATTCACTTCGTCCTTCGTAGTGCTTGCGAGATGGACAAAGCCTATCGTCTCTCCAGCTGCCTAATCCGATCAGCCTGAACATGAGTTCTCAAAATCGGGGAAGCCTTTGCTCCTATTCATCAAAAAGATTCTATCTTAACTGGCTCGTGAGCAACTTACTAGAATAAGTTATATTTGATTTCCGTTTCTCTTGCTGCTTCTTTGGCTTCGGTCTGCGGACTTGCAATGAATCTGGAGCTGGACCTGGACGATGTGAAGAAAGATTTAAAAGGAGAAAAGGAAAAGTAAGACAGTGGTGACAAAGATGGCTCAGGTAAGTCTTCCACCATAAGGAAAAATAAGTGGAATGAGTGTAACGAAAAGATACGTATAGTCAAGATAGTCAAGTAATACGTTTAAAAATTCAAAAAATATTAATATAATTTGTAAAGTTAAAAAAAAATTCATTGACTTTTTTAAGAATTGGGGAATAAATAAATTTTAATGACTCGGGCTTCTGCCAAAGGCACCCTGAAGTGTGATTCTCTCCTACCGCCCAAAACCGAATTCAAATTAGAAAGGCACCGTTTTCTCGAGTTCGGACACTCAAATCTCTGAAGCGGAAAAGCTTGATGCAGAGATGGAAGGGAAGAAACAAGCTCAAAATCCATGTCCGTCGCCGTCTTCTTCGTCCTTCAAAACCCCCAGGCCTCCTTTACGCTCCTTCAATTTCCAATCCTCTCCTCGGTTCTTCACTCCCTGCAATGTCACCCCTGCTTCCTCCGTTCGCGGCCGCCACGCGAGGAAGAGCTCCGCCACAGCGGCCAAGAGCAAAGCAGCGCGAAAGCTGCGAGATTTCGAGCAGGAGCAGTCGAAATCGTCCCGGAAGGCCTTGACGGAAAAGGAGAAGTCGCTCAAGTCCTTAGCCAAGTCGCTTGGCGTTTGGCTGAATTTCCTGTTCGAGAATCCTAGGTCTTGTGGGTGCGATGTGTCACGGTTTTCCGCCGGAGGGATTGAGAATTTGGGGGAGTGTGAGGCTGGAGTTGCGCTCACTGGGAAGAGGGAGAGCAGGCCGGCTTGTGTGGTTGGGGACGGGGAACCCTGGAGGGATCCCAAGAGGCAGAGGAACATGTCGTGGAGGGGTTTGGGGAAGGAGGAAACATGGGCGTTTCCGGATTCCATGTTCTCCAGGTTGAAGACTTCGTTGCTTGAAGTTTGCAGCTTTGATGATCTGAAGGAGAGAATGAAGAATTACTTGAGTTTGGGAAGCTGTAAGGAGATATTCACTGCCATGACTCAAGTAGCAAAGGTATGCCATTCCTGACCCAACAATTTCTGTGAATTAAGAGCCAAATTAGGTTATACACTTGACTAAACCACCGAACATGAATGGGGTAGTGGCCTATCACTTTTACAGTTCCACTGCATATTCATTGAGTATAGATTTTTCATATAGATTGTTGCTTGTTTTGAAATGTCTGAAAGTGCGGATGTTTCAGAATATTGATGAAGGAAGATTGAAAATGAAGGCTCATTGCCCCATGGTTACTGATGTTGGAATGAAGGAGAAAGCTTTGAAAACTCTCATGTGTTATAACCCCACCTGGATTCGGATTGGATTGTACATAATTCTGGGTGGTGACTCCTTGCTGCAAAATGAAGATGCTAATTCTGAACAGGAAGTTGCCTTCTTCAGGATGCTGATCGAGAAGCAGTTTTTCTCACATGCCGGTTTAGCAAAAACATATGCTTATAACAAATTGGTTGAAGGTTTATACAGACCTGGTTACTATGATGAGTTGGGGAAAGTCATCTTGAAGAGATTTTTCTTGCTTGTTCTTGTACTTGATAGAGCCAAATGTCAAAGCAGTCTTCCTTGTAAATATGGTATTGATGGTTTAGACGGGGGATCCCCTCTGTTGTTCTCTTTGCAATCACATGTTAAATCTAGCAATCAACTTATAAATGGTAATTTATGAATTGTTCTTTCTGATTTGAACTCTTCTTTGCAGTTTACTTCCAATTATCTTCATTCTATTTTCATCTTTCTGGAAAAATTTAGAGTTCTTATCTTCGGATGTGATGCATGGTGAGGGTAACCTTCTAGCACATTTAGTCATTATGGGGTTTAAAGCAACTTATCAACAGGTAAACCTCTTCCATGTGCTAGTGGGTTTGTGGGTTTTATCTTATGGGGATCTTTTGAGGCATTGAAATTGGTTGGATTTAGAATATATTATTTGAAATGTTGCAGAATCCTTTGGTAGAGTATCAATTCAAGGTGGTTGATATATTTGAAGATCTTCACGATGGTGTGCGACTTTGCAGAGCTGTTCAGCTCTTGCAGCATGATCCATCTATCTTAGTGGTTAGTTGAATTTTTTACTTTCTCTTCTCTTATAAAAGATCTCTTAGACGTTTCATTATTGTTGGCCCCTTGGCATACTACTTAAAGACATAACAAAACAAAGTAACAAAGTAACAAAATGATTATGGTTTTGGGGATTGGAACTTTTGCTCATTATTGTTTTGGTTTTGAACAGAAAATGTTGGTTCCATCAGACACCCGCAAAAAGTGTTTGAATAACTGTGGTGTGGTTTTGCAATATGTGCAACAAGCTAGTGTGCCAATAGTAGATGAAGATGGTACTATTATAATGGCCGAAGATGTTGTTAATGGGGATAAGGAACTCATCATTTCATTGCTATGGAACATGTTTGTGCACTTACAGGTGTTCTATTTTTTAGGCTCAATGTTTTGGATCCTTTGATGCTTTTTCGATTGTGATTTTATTACAATCTTCCATCTAGAATGTACTTTAATTGTCATATGTTTTATCAAGCCTGTCATCTAATGTGCAGTTGCCACTTCTAATCAACAAGGAGCTGATGGTTGCGGAGATTCAAAAGATACAAGGGTTTGAGGGGGTATGTCCTGGATACTTTTCTTGTTTTCAGTTTGAATTATTATTTTTTAAAATACACGTTTGTATTGATTTTCAGAAATGCACAAACAGTCATACTCATTTGGACATGCTTTTGTGTTGGATCCAGGTATTCATGACAAATGTAATCTGCAGTGGTGTTTGTTAATCTATCAATATTTTAATATTCAGTCTGTTCAATAACATTCATTTATTTGATAATGTATATATTTTTTAGAACAAACATACTTGGCTTACAACTTCAGGTAAGTCTTTGAGAATCTAGTAAGTTAATCCTTTGTTTCAATAAAGGAGTTTTGAATAAAAAAGTATGAACCACAAAACTGAACAGTCTGATCATTTGTCAGAAAAAGATTATATTGCCGTGTACTAGGTTTTTTTCTAGATCCTCCATATTTGCTCATTAGTGCCTCAGCCTCTGGTTGCCCTCTCTGCAACTCAATTCGTTTTGCATTAAATCATATTACATATTTTTTGAATTCGTCCATGGCCGTACAGTCGTACTTCTTGATGTGTATGCTGCCACAAAATATCTGCATCTGATTACTTGTAGTCTAGCTCTCTTCTCCCACACCTGATTCCTGATTGAGGGGCGGCAAAAAAATGAATACTTTGCACTGGTCCATTTACTTTTTTATTGATACACATACTTGCACACCTTAAAGTTTATATATCTTACTGTTTTAGGCCATTTGTAAGAGTTATGATCTTAAGGTTGATGCATTTTCTTCATTGGCCGATGGAAAAGCTATGTGGTGCTTGCTCGATTTTTACTTCAGGAAGGAACTACATTGTTCTTGTTCACTTAAGGTGTTCTAATCTCCAGCCACCCTTATACTACATTAAATTGTTACAATTGTTCATGTTTTTCTACTCTTCGCTATATTTTAGGCGAGCGATGAAGTGGAAGTTTCCATTGTATCTGCTATTGATTATACAGATGCGGTGCACAATTTCATTTTATCCCAAAAGCTGCCATCCCTATTGGGGAAATTTCCAGAGGTAAGAACACGATAATTTTTTTTTAAAAATAAGGCTAGATGAATGTAGCCTAATTCAAGTTAGGATTCATCATAAGTCACAAAAGTAGACAGTATCAACAGAACGCAATCATTGCTTCCTTACGAGGCACATTATCTTCATTGATTCTTTATTTATTTTGACAGAACAAATTGATACATTATGCCATTTGTGTCTTCTTTTCAGTTGCCATTCTGAATGTCAGATTCATTCTCAGCATCACCTTTTTCTTTTCTTAATCCTGTGCTTTTAAGTTTTAACTGTGCAGGTTTTACAAGTCAGTGACATACTTGAAAGTAATGGAGCCTGCAATGATCGGAGTGTGGTTATACTCTTGGCATTTCTCTCATTTCAACTGCTTGTCAGAAGAAATACGGTAGCAATCATAATCCATTATGTAAAAAAACAATATTAGAACATTTTAGACCAGATTTTAGAGAACCAATTCATCATTTTTTTCCTTTTCAATTTTTGCCAGGAGCATTTGAACTTTCATAAATTGTTGGGATTTAATTGTCAAAGTCCTGAAAGGAGAAGGCTAAGCAAAGACAAATGGTTTATGAATCCTGCAACTGACATGAAGCAAGAAAGAATCCACACTTCTGAAGGTCTTTCACGCGCTCTTAGTAGGACACTATTTAGTATCACCAATTGACAACCTGTTTTCTTGAAATTTTCTGCTTGAAAAAAAATGTTGTTTAGATGAACTATGTAATTGGATGATCCAATATCACTCAACTCATAAGTCATGGATCCGGAATGAACTTCACAGATCATCAATGGCTTCTTTGAGTTCTTTCATATTTTATGTTACGGAGTACTTGTCTAACAATGTGTGCTCCCAGTCACCGAAAATAATCATTTTGAACATCATTCTTTTTTGTTAGCCTGTTACAATAACAATGTCATCTTCTTCTATGCCAACATTCTCTTAATAAATATCTTTGATTACTTATACCTTAAATTTAAATTTTGTTTTTGTGAAAGATGCTGCAAAAGATTTCAAGGCAATAATGTCCTGGTGGAAAGACATGGCTCTACGTAATAATAAATCTGACATGGAGCAAGTACCTGAGACAAAACAAGAGTTATTTACCTGTAAAGGAGGCTGTAGCAGTGAAAGGGGTATGTCTCTTTTAATGTTTCTAGTTTATTTATTGAATTTATTCACTCAACTTATTCTCTGATATGTAGAGTGTGGGCATAAAAGCTTGTCCATTTGTTGGCTTTGTTCTTTTACAGAATTTAGAAAAGTGAATTTTTTTCTGTGTGAAACTTAGAAAAATGAACCTAATAATTCAAACTTATCTTAAACTGGACGCGTCTGAAGTATGCATATACATATGTTTAAATCCTTTTGAATATCATTGACCATCATTGTTATCCAAAGACATAATGAAAGTTTTGGTAATTTTGGTAATCTTGCAGGCTTTTCAGTCAATAACCAAGATATAATGAAGTCCAAAAATTCTGCACAACCCATTCAGGCTGCTACAAGGATGTCGATCAATGAGCTGCATCAAGAGGGAAGTAAAGAGATTCAAAAATTTTCAGATTTTCATCTTAGTAATGCTTGCATTGTCATTCAGAAATGCTTCCGTGGAAGTATAGCACGATCTATGTTTGCAAACATGATTTCTCAAGCAAAAGCAGCAGTAATTATACAACGTGCTTGGATAATATACAGAGGACAGATGTTGTCTCTCCAGACTAGACACTCTGCGGCGTTAAAAATTCAAACGCATTGGCATGGTTGGTTAATGAGGAAGGCATTCATTAATAAGAAGAAATCAGCAGCACTTATCCAGAGTACTTTCCGTTCTATGAAATGCTCAAGGGATTTTAAGCGCTACAGATGTGAAGTTAAGTCAGCGATCATAATTCAGGCCTATGTTCGTGGATGGATTGCTCGTAGAGATTATAATCGGTGTAAATATCTCATTGTTAACATTCAGGTAATTGTTGACCACTTACCAGCTGTAAATGCATAATGCAAAATGGTTATCACTCTTAAAAATCATTCACAGTTGGCGAAGTTGAGATTTGCTGAAATCAAAGATTTCATGCTTTCAACTTTTGGCCTGGATACCTTTTAAGAGTAGTAAAATACTTCGCCTGAAACTTTCCAATCCTTAAAGAGTGTAGGTGTCATTTTCCTGAAAACTGCTGTCAATTATGATCATTTACATAGTGTTAATGATCTGTGATCTATACGATTAAAGTACCAATTCACACGAAATCTTTGACAATCAACTCATCACTTATCTTTTCAAAACTGTAATGTGTCTGTAAATGTTACCTTTTCTTCATCTAGAGCCATTGTCATGGGTGCATAAAAAGGAAAGAACTGTCCCTACAGAAAGAGGCGGCAGTTAAGATCCAAACTGCAGCCCGTTGGATGATACATAATAACACATTCCTTTCCCGGAAACACGCTGCAACTGAAATACAGCGCTTTGTCAGAGGAGAAATTACAAGAAAGAGGCTTCTAGGTACTGTCTGGTTTTCTTGATCAAACTGCAACTGAAAATGCACACAAATAGCTCTTGTTGCATAATTGTATTTCACTATATTGCAGGTTCGTCACGCTATCGTAGGACTTCAAGTAGCACCTTCAAAGTATCTGAATTGAGAATATTTCTGCAATCAGTGACAAAGTTGCAAAGGTTGTGGAGGGCTGTTTTGTTAAATAGACAAAGAGAAAGATCAGAAATTGTTATCCAATCACATATTCGTGGATGGATTGCCAGGAAACAAGCTTCCAAGAAAAGACATGGGATTATTGTGATCCAGGTAAGTGACATTTCTATCCATCTATATTGTTATTTGTTCCTAAGGTTTCTAATACAACAAATGAACAATTATTCATACTTGTAATGACTAACATTGCTCTTAGAGCCCCTCTGGAAAGTAGATATTAATCTTTTGAAGTCCTGTGTGTGGTTTCCTAACTGAGGTTTTTCATTTTTTTCTGTATCATCTATGAATTATCTTTAGATTATTGTTACAATAGATAAGATTAAAGTTCTATCTCCAATTCTCCAATCTGTGGAATTGGTATCAATTTCATCCCTCTTAATTTGTTATTAAGGGCCTGTTCGGAACCCATACACTATGTTTGGTTCCAGAAATTTGGAAGGAAAAGAAAAAAATGGTTTTCTCTCATTTTCCTCACCAAAATGGGAGGAATTTGATTTTCCCTCCTCTTAATATATTTGTCTTCTCATTTCCTTTTCCTTCCACTTTTCTTTTCTTTTCCTCTCTATCCAAAGAAGAAATACTATTTTCCATCTCATTTTCTTATCTTTTCCATTTCAAATTCCTTGGACCAAACATAGTGATAAAGTTTCAGGGAAAGAAAATAATAGAAGAAAAATTGCAGCAAAGAAAATTGTGGAGGAAGACAGAAGATAGGCTAAAACTCAATGATTTTATTTTAGATGTGTTGATACTCATTTTATTTATACCTGTCTCTTTTATGAAAACTAAGAAATACAAAAACAGCAATAACCTAACCTTTTTTGTACTATCAATACCAACTCATCCTTAATCTAAAATCAATGAGGCCAGCCTATCATATTTCATATTCCTTTGCATTTATCAAAGCAAAACCAAACATAATGAAATAACTTAGCATTCCCCCCCTTCTCCTTAGCATTTTAAGGATTCAAACAAGCTCGCCTGAAACAACCTAAAATCTTGTTCATTTGTGAGTACTCTTGTTCATGTTTTCTTCGCCTGTCGTCAAATGTGCAGTCATACACGAAAGCTTATCTTGTAAGGAAAGATTTAAAAGGCGAGCTTCTTGATCTGCGTTTGAGAGTGCAAAAGTCTGCTGCAAACATTGATGATGGTATGCGTATAATCAACAGACTTCTTGCTGCATTATCAGAACTTCTGAATATGAAAAGTGTGAGTGGCATTCTCCACACTTGTGCAACTTTAGGTGAGTTTGGTATATTATCAATTCATCACTAGACTTTGTACCACCTTCGCTGATTTCTTTATGATGAACCAAACATGATCATGATATTGAGCCCATCACATTACTTGAACCAAACAAGAACATTTTACAAAACCTTGAGGGGCTGTTTGTTTCAGCCTCGTAATGGTTCAGATATCTGAATGGTTCAACACTTAATGGTTCAGACTGTTTGTTTCAGCCTCTTAATGGTTCAGATGTCTGAATGGTTCAGACATTTGCCTCTGAACGGTTAAGTATTATACAGAGTCTGAATGGTTAAGACCTCTTATCTGAATTGATCAGACATTTGCCTCTGAATAGTTAAGCAATATACTAGCTCTTAGTGGTTTAGACCTCTTACTGGTTCAGCACTTAATGGTTCAGACCTCTTACTGGTTCAGCACTTACCTATTCAGAAGTTGCCAAACAGCCCCTGAGTCTTTGATTACATTATCTGTGTAATATCTCTTTCCGCAAACGAAACATCCCTAAGGGGCTTGTGAAGCTATCACTAATCTTAAGATAACAAATGAATTAACTAGAAGTTATTCTGTATTGGTATATTGCCTAGATATGGCAACAAAGCATTCTCAAAGGTGTTGTGAGGAACTTGTTGCTGCGGGAGCTGTTCAGATTTTAATAAAGCAAATACGGTCTGTGAGCCGAAGCATCCCTGATCAGGAAGTCTTGAAACATGCTCTCTCCACCCTCAGAAATCTTACGAGATATCCACATTTGATTGAAGTTCTGATTAGCACTCGTGACTGCATCGACACAATTTTCTTGGAGTTTTTAAGGTTCGGTATAAGCTTTCAAGTTTTAAATTACAGTTACTTAGGATGTTTGTGTGTTATAGATCACGTAAAATGGTAAGGAAATTTTGAACAAATATAAAAGTTACAGATAAAAATTATTGAGCTACCGAGGAAGGAAAAAAAGTAGTTAAGCAGTGTCATTTTATTTCTTTCTAAAGTTCCACCATATACTCCGGGGTAGTTTATTGTGAATTTGCTAAACAATTTTCGTTCTTTCAAATATGCACCCATATGATATATATCTATTTTCTTTCCTTTCCATTTCCCAATACCATTTGCAAAGGGTTTACTCTCGTGATAGTTTATGAAATCTGAATACTTTTTTATCAGAAACAAAGAGGAGGGGTATTTTATTGCTGCTGAGCTTTTGAAGAAACTGTTTCTTCATCCCAATGGCATTGAAGTTGTGCACAAGTTACCAGCTCTTGTGAAGAGGCTACACAATCACGTGGAAGAGCTCTCTAGGAAGGCAAAAAATGATAAAAGGTCTGATTCTCATGTTTCAAAATAAAATTTTCTACAGTGTTAGGCTCCATTTTATTTACAGATCTTAAGTAGGAAATGTTTTCTAGATTTGTTATGTGGGATTCAAAAGCATTTTAGTAATACTATAGTAGTTTTATACGTACATGAAATCATTCATTTTCCAAGAAAATGTCTACTGTCTAGCACAACTTCCTTAGAATTCAAACGAAGCCTCAATAAAGTTTCTCACCCACTCTGTCTCATCTTGCTTGGCGTGGTGGGTCATCACACATTGATAAATATAAAAATACTTTGAAGAAATAGTTTGAAACATACATTAACCTCAACTAAGCTACTAATTGAGTTGAACATAGTTCAACGAACAACTCATTCGAAGAGGGAAAAGGTACGGAGTGAGTTGAACTATTCGTTTATCAACTCATTCCCGTCTTCATTGACCCACCATGTCAAGCAAGACAAAGAGTGTTTGGAAAATGAATTCTTTACACTTCTTTTGACAGTTCAAGATTGTTTCCTGTGATGAGATGCACATAAAACATGTTGAGAATATTATTTTTTAAAAAAAAAGAAACTAAATGCAGGACTACTCAAGCTGTAGCCATGAGAGAAAAGGTTGACAGAAGATTGAGAGAAGCTGTTGAGATTTTGGAATTGATCAAGTCATCAAACTCAAATTAAGCCTCAACTATGGTTCTGCTGCAATCTGTTGGTTTTTTTATAGCTTTGAGATATTCTTGTAGTCTGATCTTTAGATATTTCCAATGAGAATTGTTATGCAGATATTGTTGTTTTAAGTGCAAAGTATCTCTATGGAAAATTATAGTCTAATTCTTCTCTTCTTGAAAAGTACATGACAGTCAAATTGCGCTCATGTAACTTTATTATGCAGTGGCTACCTCAGCTATGAAATATTAGAGGCTTCATATTTGTTTTGTTGTGTTTGTGGGACTTATATGCAAAATCCGATGGGGGTTTCATCTCTTTTTGTTTTGGTGTTGGTTGACTGATTAAAGAATGTTTTTAAGATGTTAGATTTATACTTTATGTGACAAAAAAGTGTGTATAGTTTATAAATTTGTGTGTAATAGGTAGTGCACATAATACACAACCAGATAAGATATAATTCACATTAATTAATTAATTAATTAATTAATTAATTAATTAATTAACAGTTAATTTTTGAGAGTTTTTTCTTTTTTGTACAAAAATTTAGTGGGGGTGTAAAAAAAAGAAAATAGTTTTGGGGAAAAAATCACCCAAAATAGAAAAATATAACCTTATCTTCAAAATAAATTTGAAATTTTTATTCTCAAAATAAGATTATTAGATTTAGATTTTTTTATTCTTTTCTAATGTTTTACACTTATTTTTGTCTTTCTCCTTTTTTCTGGCTTGATTCGTAATTGATATAGAGTGTTAAATTATGCAGATTTGAGTTCAAATATTTAAAATAAGCAAATATAAATGCAACACCAAAGTTCCTATGACATTGCCCACATTGCCGGGCAATGTCATGGGAACCTTGCCCTAAATGCAAATATGAGTTTTTATTTGAATATTAAGTACTTCCTCCGTCCCAATTTAAGTTGTATTTATTACTTACATCGTCCTAATTTTCTATCTATTTTCGATACTCATTTGATAAAATATTATAGCAATGTCACATCTAATTTTATAAAGCTTTTGATATAGTTTTTAATATATAATTTTATTTTTTAATTTCACACTATTTTTCAAATAAAATGAATTAAAATTAATTTTATTAATCTTTGTAAACATTAACATCGATTTAAATTGGAATGGAGGATGAATACAAATATTAGGGTATTCAATTTGGATAACCACTCCATTTCATGTGACATTAAGTCTTAATGTCATAGCATGACCCAAGACTCTTACGATGTTCCGTTTGAAAAAATGATGGTTTCCATGCCTAAAATGAAACAGAAGATAAGAGTGAAGAATGAAGTAAAAGGGGCACGTCCAAAAATGAAAGAAGAAGTTGATTCTGTCAAATGTCAAATAAAAATGCATACAAAAAAAAGTTTGTTTGGACAACGAGGTATAATTATTACAGTATAATCTGTTAATCTAGGGTAGCATTTACTCATGACTGTTTAATTACATAAAGTGTTTGGCATTACATGATTGTGTGTTTAATTACATAGTGTTTGACATTACATGATTGTGTATATACATTAGAAGTTGACAACATATATATAATTACATCAAATTACAATTACACATGCTGCATCCAAACACTCATATTGTTATCTTCTTTTTTTTTTCTTATTTTGCTTTGTATTCGTTTTCAATAACTCTCATATTTATGTTAATCTTTTTTATTTTTTCTGTTGACTTTCTAACTTTATTTATCCTTCATTGTTTAATGTCTCATAGAGTCCCAGAGTAGAGGTATTGATGTACTTCTCTTCTTGAAATTTCATTTTCTTGAAATGTGAAGTTAACTTGGAGTCATCATCCATAAAAGGGAACAGAAAATAAAATTACGCGACAAAGGTTGGCCACAAACAATTTACCATTTTAGACATTCCGAATCGACACTTGAGCCCTAAAGCACACTCACACTTCAATCTGGTTTTTTCAAGTTGAAACAATTATCGGAAGCTTGGTTGAACAGCTCTTGAACCTGCTTCAGCTCCTTCTCTGGTACAAATAGCATCACAAATGCCAATCAGAATAATATTACTATGTATTTTGTAAACCACTCATAATTGACAATGTTTTTAGCTTTGGAAAATGGAGCTACGTTTAATACTATCGCTATATTCATGTCCATTGCCAATGGAGCTCAGATAGTTGTAAATGACAATGTTTTAGCTTCGGGTAATTAAAAATTTGATTTAATCAAAACAGCAGATTAAACTTTCTTTGCTCATTACTTTAATGAAGTTTTGGGTAGTAAATGTAGTAACAATCAAGGTCTATTGGAAAATGTCACTCTGTATTTTACAGGGATAAGGTTGTGTACATTTTGACCCCACCCCCCCCACCCCCACCCCCAAAGACCCCAACGAAGTTGGGATTATATTGGGTTGTTGGTACCTTGTATTTAGTAAATTAGAAGAAGGCCATTCAAAAGTGAATGATTGTTCATGCATACATACTGAAACAATCTTCAGAAAAGATTTCCACAAACCATTTTTCTCCCCACAAGTTAAATTACTGAATGTAAGCGGAACCTTAATGATAACTAAATCGACACACTAACATAAAAAACTAGATTCATAATGCAAGTAACTACGCAATGTACATGCACTCTAAAATGTTAAGTGCGGAGTATAAGACATCAGTATGTACCTGCAGCTTCCAGTTGCTTTTGAAGTTCTTGGCCTACTGCATCATTCTCGGCCTGCAAAGCATTTATAAACAAAACCACCTTTAAACAAAGAATGAAGCCATGACAATTCTTAATGGGATGACAAAAACTGGCACTACAATTAGATGCAATAAAATGATTTTCCTCAAAATAGATGGGCTATAGAGAGTAAGAGATGTGTGGACGGAGGGTTTTGGAAGGATTTGGAGGAGAATGCTTTAATGGGCTTAGTCTATATCTTGATAAATACAACAAACTTTTTAAAAATGAATAAAATGATTGAAATGCTATATATATTGGGTTAATATCTCAATATTTATTAAATCTTAAATACACGTCATGATATCTAGACTAAACTCCCCTCCAAAACCTTTCTTCAAAACAACCCCTTGTAGATGTGAAAAGAATGCAGCAAGAAACAAAATGAGTAAATAGAGCCTTCCCACATAAAGGGTCCGTTCAATAACACTTATTTTCAGTATTGTATAACCGGATCAGTACCATTCAATTCGGTTCAATGAAAGTTAAGTTTCATTAAACTTTATTAAATAGCCCCTAAGTAACAAAATGGGGGTGGGGTGTGGGGGGGGGGTATCCATACCCCTTTGCCAAACTATGGGCGCCATTCAACAGTGCACAGAAGTAAAACAGTAAACATAGATTAATAACCCAACTTAGATAAGCAATACTCTACTTGAAGATCCACCATTTCCCCAATAGAAAGAGAGAATGTATATTCAATATTGGTCATATCCAATGTATAAACTTTTAGTCTTACATGAAAATGAGACAATATGGAGATTTGATGGAACACATATACCTGAAGTTCTGCAATTCTTTTTAATTGAGCTTCTTCCCCTCCTTCTGATAATGGGAGTGCAGCAACCAATGCATCAAACTGCATGTGGAGCAACTTACTCTATAAGTTATGACTGAACCACTTAGCTGTATATCTTCATCTTTTTCAACAACAATTTACAATCACACTCTTCAAAACACATCATTAAAAGTAATTAGTAGCTCAGAGAAACAAAGAGGGCAGCTATCAAACTCGATTTCTCTTTTCTTTCCCCCAATTATTTTTCTCCAGAGAAGAATTATACATGAACGAGTTCACACAAACACATCACTTAATTGTAAGTTTGAAACCCTAAATCAGTTTTTACCTGTTTAGCAGCTTTGACAAGTTCAGTAGCCATGAGCTTGGATTGCTCCACGGCATTAGCAGTCGTAGCAGCTGCAGTAGCAGCAGCATCGGCAGGCTTAGCAGCCGGAGGGGGTTCCGGATAATTAGCCGATAATCTGGCCGGAGAAGCATCCCTCTGAAGAGTTCCGAAGGTATTAAAAGCAATAGATGCCGTGGAATTCACATGCTCTTGCAATTGCGATATTATGTCCATCTTCGACCTGCAGATCAGTAAAATGAAAGGGAAAGGCTCCGTCAACTTGTTCGGGAATTTCTAGTAGCACGGAATTCAAATGAACTCCATTTGAAATTCAATTCATGCGCGAGTAATGCAATGACTGGTTTGATTTTGATATGAAGATGCATATATAGATATTCAGACGGAAGGAGCAGATGATTCCCAGATTCGAAGTTTGATCGGGGAAATTCTAGTATGTTATGCGTACAGATGTAGACAGCCCACAGTACAGACCCCCCTGAGGTATTGCCGGAAGATGATGGAGAACGGCACCACCGGTGAAGATGGCTTCCCCGATCGGAGGAAGAAGAACTTCGGATCACCTGTCCCGCCTCTCCTAACCCCTATCCCACGCCCCCCAAATTATGGAGTATTTTTTATTTATTACTTATTCTTATTGGAATCAGATCACATTAAAAACAGCTTTAAATATAATTATATATAGATCAGATGAGAAATTATTTCAATTAAATCAGAACCAATGAGATCATATGAAGAGAACATGGCCATACACTATATTTGGTCCAAGAAAAAGAAAATGAGAATGAAAATATTTTTTTCGTTTAGTTAGAGAACAAAAGAAGGGAAAACTAAATTTCTCATGAAACTCAAGGAAAATCATTTTCTTTTCCTTTTTCCTTCTAAATTCCTTGAACAAAACATAATGTTAAAAATATAGGTAAAAATACTAAATTGATCACGAATTTTTTTTAAATATGGGAATATCAAGTCGAAAAATACCCTAAAAGAATCTAATTGTACCAAATCAAAAAATCAGTACGATATTTGAGAGCGTTACAAGATAACTTCTCAAATCGAAAATCCTAAACCGAACATATATAATGATATATTGCTCGAAGTAAAAAAATAATCTTTTTTATATTTTTTCATTAAATAATAATTTTAATTTGAAAATTTAGTTCCAATTTTGTTATGTGAAACTTATACTTTTATTCAAGTTTTAGTTTTTGCCTTTTTGGTAGACTTATATAAAAATACTAACAAACATTCGAAATACTACAGTATTTTGTTATCATTCACTTTTTTTGTTTGTCAAATACTCCGTATAAAATTAAGTTCTAATAAAAAAATCGCCTTAAATATGAGTAAAACTTATCATTTGTTCTTAAACAATGAATTTTATGTTTTTATTTTCAAAAAAAAGTTTGTACTGTGACATTATGACAGTATATAATAACATCTACAGTACTTTATGTATTATGACTATTATCTACTGACATTATTGGCATTTTAACTCCTATTTTGAAGATAAAAAACATGAAGCTCATATTTTGTTACTTTTCCCATGTTTTACTCCTAAATTAGTCATTTTTTCTTTCTAATAAGTACTTCTTGCTTGCATTTTTATTCATTTTTCAATTTTTTATTTTCTTTATTTGAATGGACTTCCTATTTTTAAAAAATAAAGATATTTTATTACATTTTAAAGTGTAAACTAGGTATGTTTGTATTTGTCTCGATATGTACCGAAAGTAATGCCGAACCACCTCGTACCGTAATCACTTCACTCAAGAGGATAGGGTAAAAATTTTGAAAATAAATGATAAAAATTTATTTTGATAAAAAGAAATTGAATCTATTTTTAAGGTTTCCAATATAACATTTTGACCATAAATATCTACATTTATATATAAATTTCTTTTATCAAAATTTTATATTTCAAAGCTATGTTTCATAATAAAACTATTGATATTATATTTATACCGAAATACAATATATTTTTCATATATCGAGGTCAAAATTTATAAAGTTGATAAAAAAAGTTAAATGAGAAGATCATTTCTGAACAAATGGAAGATTGAAATGATTTTGAATACCTTTTTATGCTGGCCAAATCTTCTACTCAATTTGTAATATTTATGTTAAGGGGAATTTACTTAAATATCACTTAAATATAATGACTTCCCGTAAATAGCATCATATGTGCTTTTTTTCAATGTAGCACTTGAAGTCATTATTCATTAGTTATTATTCAAGTAAATGTTCGCCATCACTAGATATTATTCTTCCTTCTGGACATTATTAAGTGTTATTAATGGAATAAAACAGTTTAAGTACTTTTTAGGAAAATGACTTAAGTTTTAGTGATATTTAGAGCAAATATTTATTATGTTAATTCTTTTATACAGAGTAATAGATCACCTACAAAAAACCTCTACTTTTGAAAGACGAGATTTGACAAATAGCTTGTCCTCGAATTAATAGAGTATCTTAAAAAGGCTCTTTATTTTCTTTTAGAGATGTCTCAAAAAAGTACTTGCATCTTCTATTATTTTTTGGGAGCCATTCTAAAACTTCACTTTTCTATCACATTTTTACTTTTCTAAAACTTTGTTCCAAGTCAAACTAGGAATCTTTTTTGGAACGGAGAGAATAGTATATACCTTGTTTGGTAATGATATTTTTTATTAGCATTAATATTTAATTAAAAAGTAATGATATAAATTATTTTTAAAAACACTAAAATTAGACACTATCGATCAATAATCATTTGAAATGGCTAATTTTAAGATCTAACATTTTTAATAAGTAAGCCCAAAATATACAAAACATGGTTATATAATTCTAAGAGGACAAGAGTAGTATCGTGAGCATCATTCACGAAAAAATTCACCCTATGTTTAGTTCAAATGATTTTGAAAGAAAAAGAAAAGATATTGATTTCTCTCTTTTTCTTTGTAAGGAATTTCATTTTACTTCTTTTTAATCTTTTTTCATCTCATTTTCTCTACTTTCCAATTTTTTCGCTTTCCGCACTAATAAAACATGAATAATCATTTTCTACCTTATTTTCTTTTATTTTTGCTTCTCAAAATCTCTGAATCAAACATATTGTCAAAACTAGGGACACACCAAGTACCACACCAACTTGTATACTACTCCCATTTCTTTTCTACCTTTTCATTTTTTATTGATCATGCTAGGATACTTCAACTGGTTCCTATCAGTGATATACTCATGCTTCGCAAATATAACAGAGATGATAATCATCTATGCGAAGAATAAATACAATTCTGATAACAATCATTCGAAGGCACTCTAGCATTTTTCTTTTTTTATTGACTCAAAAAAACACTCTATATGGTAGAGAGAGAGAGGTGATGTATAAGGGACTGTGCAACTTGGTGTGATGCGCGGATAGCATTTTTATTTTTTGAATTAAAAAACCATGCATATACTCCTCCATGTATGGTTGCGCCAGATTTTGGGTTTATCAATCATTGAGAGTTGCCGGAGGAGATCCGACGCCGTTTGGATTGCCGGCGTGCGGTGGATGAACCAAGTCACCGATACCAAACCCAAACTCAGGGGAACCCCCGACCACCGGATTACCGAACAACCCATGGGTATCCATTCTCCCCTCTCCACTTCTATGATCACTCATCAAATCCGGCATCCCATTTTGACCAATCCCAGAATCAATTAACTCCTCTGGTTTCTGGGTCGTCTCTTTCTCATCACTCTGCTTGATGTGCTCTGCAGATTGAGGTTCTTCAACTGCAGGAGGAGCTTCGGATTGCCCAGAATCAGATTTGGGCGCTTGATTAGAATCAATTTGGCTTCCCGGGCCGCCCGTCGGGTTCCGGGTCAGTTCCGAATCGTTAAGACCCGTAGATTGATCAGGCAATAATGTATCATCTTCGCCGTCGTTCTCCGGCAATTGATGTGATTCTGGCGGCGGGGAGAGCTCAAACACCTGCATGACGTCATCGTGTTCGACCGTCCGGAGAATCTCCGGTCTTTGGTCGGTTTGGGTTTGGACCTGAAACCTCTGATCTTGACCCTGGTGTACAGTGGTGATGTTCGGCGGAGAGAAGGGTGTTTCAGTCATTTCAGAGGAAAACAGCCCGGGCTGAGGAACGGTCACCGCCTCCGACACCGGCGGCGGAGGCGGTTGATCCGTTTCATTTTGAACTGGAGGTGGGTTGTTGGTGGTGGTGGGGCCCGGGACGGGGATGTCTTTTCTGTGATACATCTTGGCTTGCGGTGCGACGTCGTTTGAGGCTGAAACCGGAGTGAACCGACCGGGTCGGAAAACCAGACCGCGGAGCAACGTGTCGCTGTTGTCCACCCTTATGGTCAGGAAATAACCGGCATCGAAACAACCGTCGATTACGCCGGAAACCGGTTTTCCGACCATGTTTTGGAGAGCACTAGTGTCGGACCGGTTCGTCTCGAGAGGAAATTGTGAAGCTTTGGGCGCCGGAGCTGGCGGTGGCGGAGAAAGATAATTGCCTCTTTTAGGTAATCCGCCGTCTTTTCGTGGCCGGCCACGCCTTCTTTTAGCCGGAAGGATAGCAAGCCCGGTGGCAGCCGGCGCGCATTGGTCACTCATTTTAGACGATTCAATGGATGAACCGGTTCAATTTTCTGAGAAAAAAATGTTACTCCATATTTAACTTTACTCAAATCACTATTACTCTCATTACATTGGGTTCTCTATGTTACCGAATCTACTCAATGTTTGAAAGGCAATATTTCTTTGTTTTGAGTTTTAAATTTAATGTAATTAATTATCAAATTTGTCTAATCTAAATTTAAAAAATCAAAATTTTAAAAAGTTTGCATGAATGCAAATTGCAAATCATACAAATATGGTATTAAAAATATACACCGCACCTAATTATTTAAACGATATCGAATACTATAACTATAAATAGATGATTTACTTCTAAAGATATACTCTAAAATACTCCCTTCGTCCCATAAATTTTTTTTTCTTTTTTCATTCGTCCCATAAAATACTTCTTATTTCTATAAAAAAGTCACTTTTACCCCTTACTTTTTCATACACTACCTATCACATCATACCTTTTTACTAATAATCTACCCATCAAATCCTACTTTTACCCATCACATCAAAGAACATTTTTGGAAATTCAATACCAAAATACACTCCCTTAAATCTCTTCAAAAAGCAAAACATCCCATTTTTCATGGGCCGGAGGGAGTATAATAAATTTTATTGATACGATTAAATTATACTCTATATAAAAAAGGTAATATATATGTATCGAGTGTCGAATGTTAAATAGATCAAATATCTAATTACCATCGGCAATTACCATATTCATATACGTTTATAGTTCCAATATCAACAATTGAATTCAGATAATATCTGTTTCAAACAGATACAAATTGTTTGTCCTTTAAATATATCGCAAGGCCAGAACAGAAAATCTTTTGAATTTTCCATTATTCATTTGTTTTAAAGTTAACTATTGTGATGAACGAAAGCATTATTTTTCCTTTTATGCATATATGAAA